GATTTTCCATAAGAATCAATACTAACTTTAAATTTAAATAATTTCTAAACCGTTAAAAGAATTGTGCTCAGATTTTGCACAGATACTCAGAAGAAATAGTAGAACAGTTTACGAAATTTTTATGCTTTTATCAATATTTTGACAAATGATACATATCATCCTTAATTATACATGAGACGAAAATGCGCGTGAGATTTAAACGTTTAAGGATTCTTCCACGCGATTCAGATCTCATTGTGAATTCTTGGATCCTTTGATTTATACGGAGTCGTAACTAGAGCGTATCGTGAAACGGCGTTCTCACTTTGACTTTTACATATATGCGTATATAAGTTGGTAAACCGAGGACGGAAATTGAAATTCCAGCCACTGGGTGCAAATAACGCCTAGCTACGGCTCTGCGAAGACTTTTTCGGATAAAACACGGAAGGTTTACCGTTGTGAGACTAATGCGACTTGGAATTTCACGTGATTTCAGTCGAGGTGATGTTCCTCGTGTGGGGCATCCGCCTGTGCATCGTAGTAAGAAAAACTCCCTCGGAGTTTAACGAGAGTCGATTCATTTCAATGGCCATTTACAACGAATTTCTACTATCAGTCTTCCTCAACGTTTCAATGTAAGTTATAAGATCGCCTTTTTATACCACCGATTATTTAAAATGATCACCGATCACTCTCTTTCGATAAACGTTTATAAGACGAAATTATTCCCGAGCCCGTTTTTCTGAATATTAAAAGATAATAATATTATATATTTTAATTATTTTTTTAATTATTTGAGTTTGCAAGCGCGCTTGAAAGCACAACATGCAAAATAAAGTTGATTTAAAAATAGAATTAAATAGAATTCTTTAAAATATATACATTTCAAGAGAGTTTAACTCTGGAATGCATAATATAAATTTATTTAAATTGATTCTTATTTTAAATGTAAATTGTATGTTAATGATTATCTCTCTTCGGGGATAAACCACCTCAATTGCGATTTAACGACGGATTCTCTTTGACGAATTTATAATTGATATTTCCTCTAAGAGAATTTGATATTGTGGATTACTGCGTGCGTGATTTTTAATGTTTAACATTGCATTACCCTGCGGCGATAAATTTTCAAACCGGTAAAACAAGAGATTCTGACAGTACTAAGTGGGGGGAAATTGGCAAATAAGAACCAAGGCGGTTATTGGGGCGCAAATTTTTTTTTTTTTTTTTTTTTTTTTTAATTTTGGAGATATCCAAATTTTTTTTATCTTTTTTTTTACGAATATCTTCCAGAAATTGCATTCAGATAGGAATGGGAAGAGAAGGACAAGTTGCAGTTTGCCGATTTTCGCGCCAATGGAACATTCGTCGCTTCGCAAAATGCATTCACATTAATTTTCCGAAATTTCCCCTATATCTCCTCGCGCAAGATGTCAACAACTGTGCGGAGATTGCTCCGCGCTCGCGGAGTTTGCGGATCGTCGCGCACGTCTCTCCTTCCGTCGTTCTCCAACGGCCCGAGAGTTCTCTGGTTAGTTCGCGCGATTTGATTATCATTCCTCGCTTGCGGGAACGCGACGACGGCGATAAGCTCCGTCGCAAACGTACATATACGAACGGGGTGGGCGAACAGGAGAAATTCTCTGGATTTTCCTCGAAGGGAGAGGAAGGAGGGTGGTTGCGTTACCGGAGCGGATTGATGCTCGCCGATGAGTGGAAAAGGGAGAGGGAGCGGGGAGAGGGGGGAGGGGGACAAAGGTGGCTTAATATCCTGGGCTTTGGACGGAGTCTGATATTGATACGCGAGCGAGCGATCGTCGTCGACGCGTGAGCGTAGCATGGTAATTCCAGAGAGGTCGGCGGCGGAATTCGTGAAGCTGCACCGATATCACAATGCAACCCTTTGACGAGTGTTCGGAGCGCGATACCGAATAGAGGTCACACAAGCCCACGCGAGTGCGCAAACACACACGTAAATTCTGATATCTCTTTCCAGATGAAGGGAAGGATGCGACGTGCAATATCTCCAGATTCTCCTCTCCTTCGAAGAGAGTTATTACAGAGTCTATATACGGGGAACTGTAAAGAACTGCATTCGAAAGTTGGATATGTCACTTTCGGAGAACTTAAACATCATTACAAACATACTTTTAAAAGTACGAGTGCGTCCAAAGAATTTAAAAGAATTCAACCCCCTTTCCTCCCTCTTTATTAGATTTTGAAGATACAATAATAAAGTCAAATTATAAGAATTGTTGAATTGAAAATATTGAAACTCTTGTAATTCTCTTGTAAATATATAATTAATAATAATAATAAGATATAATTAATTTAACCGTGTAATGTCAATAATAGTATGCATTAAATCAAAGCTGATTTTTTTTTTTTTTTTTTTTTTTTTTAATTTAATTTTTCTCATTTTTTTTTTTTTTTTTGAATTTTATATTAT